CCAAATTTTTTAATATCCTATCATATACTTTTTAATATCCTATTTGATGTCACGTCTTTGTGATTTAATTATGGTTTCAGCACAAACAGTATAAGAAATTCAGAACAAAATAATATAGTATCTACGGTAAAAAACAATGTCACACTTGATTTTACCACACGGCATAATTGCTTCAATAATTTGATCTATAATTTTCATAATCTCGTACGATATAATACTTGCTTTTTGGCAATTATTATTGTTAAAGTACATTTTCCCCACTAATAATTTAATAAACATTATTGTTTATATTCAAATCTTAGGTGAATTAATTTGTAAAACCTAGTTCATATGAGCACCCTTCAATCTAAGATCAACTTGCTTAATATTCCATATTCACTGCCAAACAAATGAATTTTTGACACATGAAACAAATTTCTAAATCATGTTTTTAATAAAGAAATTTTTAAATAATTTAGTAAAGTATAATAAAATACGACATGCATAAGTTTAAAAAAATAATGTATATGCAATTTTGGACTTATTGCGTTATTTATTAAACAGAATTATATAATTGTATCTGCCAAAAATATACGGTTGACTGTATCTTATATTATTTTAATTTCTGGCACATCTCAGCTGCTTTTCGGCAATAATTATGTAGACATTACATTTTTCTTGCATCTTATATTCTAATATTATCTAGGCTCATAGTTTCTAGCAGATTTGGTGCGTGATTTTGTTTGTAATATTTGCCATTTTTTCTACAATATTACTATAGATTTATCGTTTATTAAATCTTAAAAATTTCTTTTGACAAACTCTAAAAAGAATTATCAAAATTCGAATAACCGTTTAGGAGAAGCATCAAATCATACACCTGTACAGAAGAATTTTTTATATAAGATATATATATATATATATATATATATATATATATATAGGATTATAAATCTTCTTTACCTATGTTTTCACACACTAGCTCTTAAAATTTATTATGTAAATTTAATTTCTTCTTAGTAGAAGATGGTATTTGCTTTATAACAGAATCATCATTAGGACAACATATCTTTTTTTTCGAATTCGCAAATGTGTAAATGTGAAAATATATAATCGTATTATCATTCACAATTATTATATAAGCTATCAAAAATCAAACTGACAGAATACAAGAACCTGCTTATAAACAAAAACTGTCTAGAAAGCGTACATAATGCGATAATATAACCGCGGCACAGTTTCATTTTATAATTGAATCAAACATCAATTGATATGTATGACGAGTTTATGTATGGTAAATATTTATTTAAATTTATTTATGCGTTCAATGTGTAGTGTAAATTTTAATTAATGGCTTCTCGGAGATTGTCAATAATTGAACGCGTGCTGAACTAGAATAAGTCATTTATATGGAACAGATCGAGCTTCACGTTGGCGTTTGAAGGAAAAATGAATATATTGATCTTGTTTTAAAGTGAATTATGAGTACACAAATAGCTCTTGAAAACAAGTCAATTACTCAATTCAATTCAAAACTCAATTACTCCGAGATGAAAATATTAATAACAATTTGTGCATTTTTTAGGGTAGATATTAACCAGTTTTATGGGTCACGCCCCATTTATATTTCGAATATTTCATTACGGTACGGGAAGTTCCAGCAATTTGATTTAAGGCACGATGCCATGCAACACTAGTTAAATTTTAATTCGGTATGGAAAGTTTCAGCAATTTGCCCCAAGACAAGATGCCATACACCACTAGTTTACTATTTTGAATTGTTTACATATTTATTGGGTTAAAGATTCAATTGGTCCTTATTACCCCACCTTCAACCAGGCACATGGTCTATTTCTCTATCTATAAAATCTTGATAACTTTTAACCTTCATTTTCTTTTGCAATATTGATACGCAAGATGAATACATTAATAGTGTTCTAAGAACTTCTTATTAATATACTAACTGTACATGGATTTCAATTGCCACTTTTCATATCCAATTTAAAATTCAAATAAATATATACTTAAAGATTTTATGCGTACGTTACAAAACTTGAAGTATAGTCAATATTAAAAAACGGTATTGTTTGGAAATAATTAGCATATGGTATTAGTATATGTAATTTTGTTGCTCGATAAGGTAACATCTTATAAAAGTGAACTATGATGAAATTTGCGGCAAAAACAAAAGATTGTACTATTGTTGAATGGAATAGAGGATATTCTTAATATTTACGCAACTATTTAGTTTTTTGTACATAATGACTAATTCTCCTTTCTAAAGTACTATATATATTGTAATAGTATTTTTTATATTAAAATTGAGTATCCGTTATTGAGGGTTACTTACTTGTTAATTTTTTTCTAAATAAAAGCAGAAATATTTTAAATGGTTGATATGGGCGTTATCGTTTAATAGACTCCATAATATATTATAACAAGAATTAATACTATTATCAAAGCTTAGGTATTGCTCATTTTGAATTTATTACGCAAATTGGTAAAAAATTATAATGCTATTCTAATAACATGATAATGGTCATTTCAGCAAACTATCCTCTATAAATCAATGCACGTTCTATACAATTTATTATACTTGTTAAGCCGATCCAATCAAATTTGTCATATTATTTACATTCAATATTATGCCAATTTTAAAAGTTTGCCCTTGATTACATTATACTTGACAATTATTATAAAACGCGGGCATTTATATACATATGCTTGAATATCAACTTTCAATTCGAATATACATATTATCATTAGTTAGTAATTGCTCAGCCAATCCCTTAGATTGTGATTGTTATTTTTAAGGAAAAAAGTATTTAAAAATATTATATGATATTGAAAGCATTAGGGAATTCAAATTATAGAGTTGCAATACAGATAGCAATATATTATATATTATTAGTCAAAGTAAATCAAACCTGTTCTTACTTCGCGTGTTGATAACAATTAATATCAATTTAGATTCTAATATTTTTAGAATTTAGATTAGAATATTTTTAGAATTCGTATTCATTTTCAAAGTTATTGGGTCTAATACTCCAAATTTATTTTTACTGCAATTTTGGGCTTTAATATTCAAATTAACTATTCTCTATCCTTGGACGTCTTTTAATTCATTTCCTAATTGTGTTTCATTTATACAACTTCAGATAGAAAATTGCTTTGTCATATATGAATAGATCATATGATAATTGATATAATCATATTGCACACATATCTGAATATAAATGCAATAAATAAATGTGCAATTAGCAATAATAAGTACGCAATGTCTGTATCATTTCTGTAATATGTGAGAAAGTAAGAAACCGTATTGCATAAAACGTTTAAAACTATTTTGCAAAGTATATGCAATAGTTAAAAAATGCTCGCCCATATCCTTAAATAATAGTATAAATTAATTATATTATTAATATGTGCGCCGATGCGAAATGATTTTAGAAGTTGATTAGAAGTTGCTCTAAGAATGATTGCAATAGAAGAGGATGAGCTTTATAAATAGTTTAGAGAATATAAAATTTTTATAAACTATACTTTATTATTTTTTTATTCATGCTTATAATGATTCGAATTGAATTGAAATTATTCTTATTCTTAAAAATTTTGGACATTTTTGGAGATTACTATGAACACCTAATTCATAACCATTACCTCTGGCTGATAATAATTATTATTTGAAGTCACCCAAATTCAAAAATTTGCCATCTTGATACAAATTCATATGGTTTTAGGTTATCTTCACGAGGATAAGATTTTTATAAAAAGCACAAATTCTGAAAAAAAATTGTTTCCTTGGATTATTTACCAAAATATCAAAGACAGTTCATTAACTACTACATAGAGTTTTATTGCAAAACCTTGATAATGACTTTCTATGTGTGCACTATATATTTTTATCAATTAAAGTTTGATCTTTTTATTACACAAACAAATATTTTTTATTGCATCACACACCGATATAAATTGCTAACGATTAAATGAAATGGCTATAACGAATTGTTGTCACAATTGCCATCTCAAAATGAAATTTTAGGCGAGATACATCATCAAATTTTTACATTTGGCATATTGAAAGAAGTAATAAAAAATATTTAATATTTTGGTCAAGTTTTAGTTAAATTTTTGGCGCCTTCATCTCATTGCATTAAAAAAATAAATATTAGTAAAAGACTACGAACTTTTCGACTGAACTTACTATGAACAATAAGTTTAAGGGATGATGGACTTACTAAAAGTTTGCGAATTGAGTCGAATTACTTGCATAAAATCAATTACTGAAGATACTTGAGCAAATATCTTCTGTAAATGAATATCAAAAATAAATATATACTTTTAGACCTATTTGCTTTATATAACATATTTTGCAAAGATTTTTGGTAACATTTCAAACATGAGTAGATGGATTTTAAAACAAATTGAATTAATAAACAGAATATTTCTGAAATTAAGCCTTTATGAGCCCGGATAACTTTCAATTCACATTTAAAATTTTTTGGAATTTTATCACATAAGTTAATTACCACGTATATATCTTAATTCTATAACTTTGTCAAGACATTCAATATCGATATTTATGACCTTTTCTAGGCTTTTCAACCTGAAATAGCATTTTCAGGTTATATTATTGGCGGCTTATATTATTGGCGGCTGTGACTATTATTGGTCGCAGAATTTTTTGTTTTTGGTATATAGGCTTAATTACTGTTTTTTTGTTACCCTAATTTTTTGAGATGCTAAACAAAATTCGATCCATGCGGGGGGAGTAATGTGGGAGTCAGATAGGCGGTGACATAAAAAAGTGAGCCGAGTAAAAAATAAGTGTAGGTCAGTGTATTTAAACATCACTAAATATCCTTACGATTTGGTAATTAATAGTTTTAATTAATATTAATATGGAAACAGTTAATGCTCATAGCATGATTATCCTGATGCTGAAACCACGTTTCGTATATTGCCGATTACATATCAACCACATTCCGCGAACAGTAAAATAATCATTAAAATGTGCTCACCTGTATTTTTCATTGGTAAAGATAATCCCATACAACTAGCATATAAGAAAAGACACAGCCAAAACATTTTGAGTTACTAATTTTCAGACACAATTCAATATATTACGTAATTTTTCTATATGTGTGTAAAATGTAAAATTAGTTGATTGCATTAATTTCACTTCGTCACTTTCTTCGCTCTCACTTTTTTTTATATCGATCGTCTGACGATTAACGTTATTTGCTGGTCGACGTCGCGGACATTAATGGTCGATTGTGCTGTGCTAGCACCTTCAACCTCCACACTCCAGCCGACACCGGTACTTGGGGCCACTAGGTAGAACCAGACTTCAATTCGGGGTTTCAGCTTTTGTGAGCTTGAAGAACTCTTTCACTAGCTAAACGATGCCGTTGGATATTGAAACAGTTTATAATGGACCGATTGGAATTCAGAGACGCACATCAATTTTTTACGCTGAATTATTATTGTTTTATTTAGAAATAATAGATATTATAATTTGATTTCGAATGGTTTGACTTAATTTGAATATCAATAGTACCTATGGACAAAATGACACAGTATCCTTATTAACTTTCCGAAGGAGACGTTTATGTTTTCATCAAAAAATCCGATTCGCTAATTTTATGTTTTCTCGATGTTTCAAGCCATTCTGAATCGAACGAGACCAAATTTGGAAAAAGTATGTGTGTGTATGTGTATGTGAACAGATTTTTTGCCGTAAATCGATGTTTTCTCGAAAACGGCTGGGCCGATTTCAAAGATTTAAAAGCCATTCGATGTATCTCGACGAGGACTATCGTTTGTCTTCAATATGGTTTGACTCAATTTGAATATCAATAGTACTTATGGACAAAATGACACAGTATCCTTATTTTAAAATTGGTTAGTTTTGGTAACGTTTTTGCGACTGTATCACATAAAGAAAGCTATAATCACAATCCTGTCAGACGTTGATCGTCATTGCCACAGTCTTGTCGCAGAAACCAGTTAAAACGTGCACCACGACTTCTAAAGTTTATTTTGGGGATAGCATTGTCATGTTTTTTGGGGACATATATGTTATTTTTGAACCTTATTTTAGTAAAATCAATAAGTTCTAGTGATTTCGATCAATTTTGTAGCAATTATTAGGTGTTTGATAGAATTTTGATAATTTCATTTTTATTTTGCAAAAACTACATGGTAACTACAGGTTCATTCGAGGCTAAGAAAAAATAATTGAAACATGCCGGGGTAAATTAGTATGATTATTGGGTAAACAGATCCAATGTTTTATTTTAATTTTGAAGAAATTTTGTAAAATGATGGATAAATTATTTCAACCAATGCAAACAATAAATTTCATGGTTGCATTTTTTGCTGAAAATAACCTTGATCTTGTTTTTCGTCAGAAATATTCATCAGCAGAGTTGGATTAACTATTTATTTAATTTATCTTTTGTTAAATGGTTTGTTTTCACTTTTTTATTTACTATTTTTTATTTTTTACCACTTTGCCAGGGTAAAAATTCACAATTTTTCACCACCCTGGTGTAAGCTTTTATAGAGGTTATATGAAAAAAAAACAATTGAATCTACCTTAAAATTAACAATACATTCTATAAAATAATTAAATAAAGAATTGTACTTAAACATTACAAAAAAGCTTCATTACAACGAATGAAGATACTTTTATTATGGATTTTTACACATTGCCGTTTATCTTCTGATAGCAACGTCTTAAGCGGTCGTACGAATTAAGATGATGACTGGTCATACAACTTTTTGTCTCTACTTTCAAATATTGTTATTAAAAAATTCTTAACTTTACTGGTTTTTGAGATATCGGTGGTTGAGCTTTTTATCCGCGGACTTTTAAGCCCCGCTCTGGCCCATGTTCGAGTATGTCTGAATCATTCGGAAACTGTTGTATATTTTATCATGATGTCTAAATCTCAATTAATATGATTAAGTCGAATGACGTAAGTCGATTTTTTACAAAATGACATATGCTCTAATATACACTTGAATATAATAATTATTAACTTCCCCTAGGATAAGTTATAGTAATAGCGAAAAAAACAAAAATAAAAATTTGTATACATCTTTACGTTTCAAAAATCGGAAACATCTTTCTGAACATTTTGACATACCGCGTGTATGTTTGTGTGTTTGGATACAAATTTTCGTCGACGATTTCACGAACACGGATCATCCAATTTGTATAATTTAAAAAACATTCGATTCTTACTGATGAGGAAACGTGCTGATTAATTTTTGGTAAAGGCAGATCCAGCCGTTTCGGAGATACGGGGCAAAAAGTGCCAAAAATGGTATTACATTTTTTTTGTATTGCTAAATGGACAACTGGTGAAATTTTTGTGAACGCAGGTCCAGCGTCTAGACATATGTATTATAAGGTATTTTATAAAGATTAAATATACTAAATTTTATTGGATTATAATAATAAGTACAGATTTTGTGTATTTTTATATCCGTTCCGTACCAATGTTTACACGTTAGACGATTACGCGGCGCTTACGCGCTTTGATATTTCGACTCTAAATCAGCTACGCAGCGTGATTGCTTTAAAAAAATGTTCAAAATTTTCAAAAATAATCCAAATACAAAAAAAATCAAATGTTTCAAAATTTTTCTTAAAAATTTTTCAAAAAATTGTTTTTTTGTATTTTTTTCGGTACGGGAAGTACCAGCATTTTGCCTTGGGACGATGCCATTCATCGTTGGCAGTTACAAATAGATAAAACGAACATATCTTATATATAAAACAGAATCGCAAAATGTGTTGGTAAGCGCATAACTCAACAACGCCTGGACCAATTTGTCCAATTATTTTTTTAAAATGTTTATTGATGTTTAAGGATGGTTCTTACGGCGAGAAAAAATCGAATAATTGCCGGGAAAACCCTAAGAACAGCCCTTTTCTTTATCTCATACAAACGTTTTCTAACTAAAACGTAGAATCAATTTGAGCTTTATTGCTATTATATAAAGTTCATATTAAATTACAAGTATTAATCAGGGCCGGTCCTACCTTTAATGCGATGCATGCGAAAAATACGAGCGCACGCCTTTAGGGGGCGCCAACACAAGATTTGGATATTAAATTTTTAATATAGTTTTTTTTTCAATATATAAGTTCTTTGCATCTTTCACTCATCTTTATACAATATTTCGTAAAAAATTTCACTTTATAACAACAAATGGGAAAGTAAAGATGAAGTCATATAATTCGGCCCTCACGATATCGATTAGGAGAAGTTTAAGATGCAATTTTGGATATCCTAAATAATAAAAATTAAATTAATTTAATCCAACATGAATTACCAGTGTAATGTTATGGTTATGGTCATGCTAAACCGTTTAAAAGACTTCAATTTTCAATATAGTGTGGGAATTGAGACTCATCATTTAATTTAAAGCAGTTCTACATTTAACATCGCTCATATTATAAATATTAGTATATTAAATTAAAAAATTGTAGACATGGGTACAGGACAACGTCTGTCGGGTCATCTAGTATTTCAATGAATATAAATATTCACATTACATTTTTGACATTGTTCAGATACTTACCCGTAAGTATAGTATCCCTCATCATATACGTGGTTTTGTAAACAATAAAAGGTATAAATGAATATTAGAATTATGCCATAATTGTGTAACAAAAAAAGGAGAGAAGGAACATTTTCCTTCAACAAAAATCACATAACAATATTTATTGACAGTTACAGTTTAAACTAGTCATTTAATCTTCGTCCGTTGACATGTAAATGACATGACATGTAAAATACAGTGCCATCTACCGGCGAACGCGACTACTCGGTCCGCCATTGCATTTTGGGCTTGGGCCGCCGCGCTATGCGATCTCACGTTGTCAGCAGTGGCAGTGCCACGGATTTAGTTGGTAGTAATGTAGTTTACTAGACAACCTAGTCCTAGTCAATATGTCGTGCGAATGGGCGATGGCGTTTCTTTCATTCAAATTGACAAACTTTTAACTTATTGTCTAATATTAAATGGCAGTACAGTACATTTTTTTTTATATTGAACCACTTGATATTATTCAAACTGTTTATAGCGTAAAAGTGTTTGCAAATTACATTTGTGCGATATTGACCTGTGGATGAAGTGTTGTTGCAATTATTTTATATGCGGGCTGAAATTCATCTCGATGTCGACACAGCTCATTTAATAAAATGATTTGATTTTTAGTTTTTACGACTTGACTTATCAAATGATATTAATTACTATCAGTATTTTAAGAAGTGAAAAGTTGCATATAAATCTTCAGGTAATTTGAACTTGACGAGAAAAATCTTAAGATAAAATAAAATATCTATATATGTATATAAATATATATATATATATATATATACATATTGGGCAGGCATGTATATATATTATTTTATAAGATTATGATTTGATATTATTGAACTCTAGATTGAAAATATCTGAGTATTTAGTAATCTAATGTATATATATATATATATATATATATATATATATATATATATAGAATTTTGTGATATGAGTGGAACATATACTAAATGTTAAATATGAACAATATAGAACAATATTTAATAATTACAGACATTTCGAGACCATGGTATGCCCCATCTTCAGTGTTAATTATATACTAACATATTATTTAATATTTTATTTAAATTACATTTAATTTTCGAAAAACAAAAAACACCAACTATCTCTTACAATGCTTGACACAGTACTAAACATGTGAATATATACAGAAATATTTGAAAACAAATCTTAAGTGACGAAGATGTATGGACAGGATGGATATTATTATAATGTAAACAAATGGAGTGTGAGATTGCATAATAAAATCAAGAAATTTGTTTTTTGCTTTTCAAAAATTACATGTAATTTAAATAAAATATTAAATGATGTGTTAGTATATAATTAACTGTTTTGAAATTACACTGAAGATGAGGCATTCCAAGGACTCGAAACGTCTGTAATTATTAAAGTGTTAATGCATTTAAATTTCTTTGCTTCCAGATGCTAATATGCTTCCAAATTGATATAAGAAAACTTTCTGAAAGTTTTAGTTCCTGATATTTACTTTAAGATAGTCCGCACTTCAACCAAAGTTTGTTATGAAAGTAACATTGGAAAAAATCCATTTGTTTTTTAGAATTTTATAACTCCAGCTACAAATGAATCAAAAGTATCAATTCGTGTAATGTTTTATTGAAAATTTGATGCAAAAAGGGTTTCTTATAATTTTTCATTAAACCTATTGCCTTAAGAGTTATTTGAGATCAAAGTTTAATAAATCTATAATTATTATGTATAAACTTATTTTATAAAATATATCTTATTTTTTTTGTAAAATTTTTATTTTTTATCAGAATAAGCAAATACAATGTTATTCTCGAAATTTGGTTGAATATGTGTGATTTTTGTCAATGAGTTATTTATTTATTTATTTATTTATTTATTCAACACCCAAGGCATTACTACAATATTATTACATTTTAAAGTGTACAAATTATAAACTAAAGATAATATGAGAAAAGTTGTATTAAGAGTTCATATATACTTGTATATATACATAACACTTAATATATATAAATTACAAATATATAACATTAAATAAAAACTAATAAAATTAAACATTTAATAAACTCTAAATCTCTATTCAAGACAGTCATTTAAGGATAATTTTTCTGGCTTGATTTTTCATATTTGTCACTGACAGACCATATTGAACTCTAAAATACAAATGGAAATTTTCCCATGTTATTAGTTGAAATGCAGACTATCTTAAAATTAATATTAATTAAGAGCTAAAACTTTCAGAGATTTTTTTATCAATTCAGAAGCCATGGGAACAAAGAAATTTAAAAACTTTCATATTAAGGACCACCCTGATAAATACATATATTTATATATATATATATATATATATATATATATATATATGGAAATGGGAAAAACTCTCACACTACTTCTTCCCTGAATCGAGTTGGAGTTTAACTCAGCTCACGGACCTGCCCTAGGGCAGCACTACCCATTATTATTATTATATACATATATATATATACATATATATATATATATGTATATATATATATATATACATATAACAAATGTATTGTGAGTAGTTAAATATTAAATTAGAAATATTAACAAACAGCACTCTTTTTTTCAGTAATTTATTAAATAATATTAATTTTACAAACATTTCGAGACTAGGTTTGTCTCATCATTAGTGTAATATAATTTAAAATTTTAAATATGAATATCTAAAGTAGCATGATGTGTTAACTCTTCCAACTTGTTGTTGTTACTGTTTTTATTATTAATATCATTATTTTTTTTAAGTGAAAACAACAAGACAACAAGTTGGGAGAGTTAACACATTATGTTAGTTCAGATATTCATATTTTAAATTATAATAAACTGATGATGAGACAGACCTAGTGTAGAAACGTTCGTAAAATTAATATCATTTAATTAATTAGTGCAAAAAAAGAGTGCTGTTCATATTTTTAATTTAATATATACATATATATATATATATATATATATTCAATAGATAAGTCCTGGATTTTTTCAATATATTGATTGTTTCTTTTCCGAACAGTAAATCCAATAATAAAAAACAATTTGTTTTTTGAAGATGTTTAATACGACGTTTCGGAACTAACTACCTAGTTCCGAAACGTCGTATTAAACATCTTCAAAAAACAAATTGTTTTTTATTATTGGATTTACTGTTCGGAAAAGAAACAATCAATATATATATATATATATATATATATAGATTATTTATACAATATTTATATTGAATATTGTTGTATCGAGAATGTTTTCCTTAAAATTGTTTGTTTTGTAACAGCATAAAATAATGAAACTTTATTATGACTACATGCTGTAAATTTTTAGTTCAGGCTAGACTGTCTTTAGTTTGTTACATGTAAAAATTTTATTTGTTTTAACATTTATTATTCATATGAATAATTTGTGACATACAAAATTGAAAGATAACATTCATTTCCTGTTTAAATATACATCGATATGCCCATCCTTTACACATGTTACATATATACATATATATATATATATATATATATATATATATATATTGATATAATATGACTATATTATATATATATATATATATGTGTGTGTGTGTGTGTGTGTGTGTGTAAGTTCTTGTAGGGCGATACATCAAAGAATAAAAAGCTAATATTTATAAATAAATCTTTAATTACCAACGTTTATTTATTTATCTAGTTTCTATCTTTATTAACTTTACTGTCTTTTATTATTTTTTGTTGTTAAGTGTTGCTGTTCTATTAATTTTTCTCTTAAATTTATAGTGTCTATACCAATCCACGAATTTTATAATTACCTAGTTATATTAATTTTTACACCGTTTTTAGATCCACTGATGATGACATTAAATTGAATGTCGAAACGTTTGGAATTAAAGATTAATTTATAAATTTTTGCTTTTTATTCGTTGATGTATGTACAGGAACTTACACATATATCTCACCAAAAATAACTACTAAATCATATATATATATATATATACTAGCCGGCCCGACACACTTCGTCCTGTCAAAAAAAAATTGTAATGTGACGGTGTCTTGTGCCTACCTTTTTTCTATTCTTTGCAAAAAATTATTCTGAACAGAACCCTCACCCTGGTAATAATTCGGTGTGAATTAAAAATAATTAAATAAAAGACTATAAGCATTTAAAAGTAAGTAATTTTAATAATGTAAATCATAATTCAAAAATCAGTTCAATTTTCATTGTAGTGCTTTGTGATAAACGATGTTTTTTGTTTGATTACCTGGCGCATAGACAAACAAATCTGATGGTTTTCCAATACGGGAACAAACAACATACGATTTTCCATGTGAGAAACATGGGTTTTCTAAATTAATACACAAACACTTAATGATAACGCACTGGAAACGCATTGGGATGCATGGTGCGAGAACATCTTCTGCTTTATACTATCCTTTGAATATAGTTAGTCGATATTTCGCAACATTATAATTGCCGATCCAACCCTTAATTGAAGAGCGAGTTAAAAAACTCCGGTGGATCGTCTTGGTTAGTTGCCGAATCAACTGATTCGCCTGTAATTTGTTCTTGAATTTTGAAATTTAATTAATTTACATCAATATTTTTGGCTGCAAATATAGCTTGATTAATAGAAAGATATTTCTACGTTTATATAAATATATTCAAAATTAGATTATCAAAAACCACACAAAATGTCATGACATAGATCATTGTTTTTTTTACAAATTGCGTTGCCTTCTCGATTAAAGAAGAAAAGGGCTGTTTTTAGGGTTTTCCCGGCAATTATTCGTTTTTTTCTCGCCGTAACAACCATCCTTGGACTTCAACGAACATTTTAAAAAAAGAATTGGCCAAATTGGTCCAGGCGTTGTTGAGTTATGCGCTTACCAACACATTTTGCGATCCATTTTTATATATAAGATATATATATATATATATATATATATATATATATATATATTCATATAATAAATGTTAAAATTCATATAAATAAATGATTATGGTATTTATTCTAGTGCTTTTAATAAGTTTGATAAATAAATTTAATTTAAAAAATCTATTTAATCCATTTTATTAGCAAATAAAAAGAAATTGAATATGTGTAAGATTAAATAATTTGCATTTGATAAGAATAAGAGGCCTGTTAGGATAGCATTTTTCATTAGTTTACTTTAATTATATATAGATGTGTCACATTTTTATTTGTTCGATCTAGATAATATTCTAAATGATGTTACAATGTGACTTTATTACTAAACTAATGCGAGCTTTACCATCGCGATTTAAACCCTAACTAGGTCATTAGCATATTGTTTTTCGTATTAAGGATATATTATAAGTTTCTTTCATTGGTCTGTCAATCATCGCCGCATATTGAAAAATGTCGTAAATTTTTCCTGATATTATCTTTGCCATGTTATGACGAAAGAACAACATTGTTATTGTTAATACTAGAACTAATTAAACTACAGCTTAAGACATTTTAATGTCAACAGTCGCAAATATAATGATCTCACGCGTCATATCGGCTTTTTGTTTGCTTAGCGTAAGATGATTTACGTATAATAAATATTTACTTTTTCTGGTAGTTTAATATGCAATCAGCAATTTTAACTTAAATGACATTACGTTCAAATATGAAATATTTTCTCGATTGCAATTGTGTCCGCTATACTGAGTTGATCATACGTACTGGGTGGATCAGGATAGCCCCGGATTGTCCAGGACATTCCCGGATTGTCACTTTGGATTACAATTTTTTCTAAAAGTACTATTTGCCTCTATCATCCTGAATTTTTGAAAAGCATAAGTTGACATTGACTTATCGTCATTACAACAATTTAAAATTACAACACTTCTTCAAATATCCAAAAATTAATTATACGACGATTATGGTTATATGAAACTCTTAGAATTTTAGTATTTTCGCACTTACATTTCCATATTAAAATATGGAAACACACTTCTTGCAAGACAAATGCTTTAGAGAAGTGACAAAACTCGACTTGGAATAGGCGATACTTTATACGCAAAATTATAAAGAAAATTTTACAGAATTTTATACAAGACTTAAAAGCAAAAGTTAATTCTTAAACAAAATAAGAAGTTTTGCACTCGCTGCCAGCAATTCTGATTTTAAAAAATTAATTTCTTTTAGAAAAAAAGACTGATTTTTATCGTTTTCTTAATTATTATTTGTTATTTTAAATTATATTTAAATTAAACAACTCCCGTTTCGGATTTGAATTGTAATAATATGTTTACCTTAGTTGTCCCTATTTGTAAAATAACTTCATTCTTTAGAGTAATTGCACTAATATTTAAATAATATAAAGTGTATGCTAAAATCTTTCAGCCAACTTTTTTTTAATCAAGTTTTTACATAAAGCCATTGGGTAATATGACGAGTTTCGTACTTGATGAGCGTCAAATAAATTGAGTTGGTCCGAACGTAATTATTTACCCTTGAAAACAACACCGACTAATTTAAGTATTTAAATAAACGAGTTCAAACGAACGTTGCATTAAGCTCTTACAACTTTAAACATTATTGCATTTCTTTCGATGAATTGTTATATTATAGTATTTTTTTATAACTGAAGCTAAAGTTACTTTTTTATGTTTGTTAACTTGCTATTATCTATTTAATTTACTAGTTAATTATTTTATATACTCGATCGCCACTTCATACACAAGAATCATTAGGCTAAATTATATTTTATGTGAGGGTTGTTGATCTTGAATCCTTTTAAAAGTATATTATATGAATCATAAAATTAAATCAGTTAAAAAAAACAAATATTACAACTAACTATTCAAAGTTTACTAACATTTAATATTTAGAGATAAAACTAAACTGGAGGCTATTATAGAGCATTTTTCTATCACTGCTATATATATACCATTAATAGCTTTTTATTTTTAAGAAACTTGCACTAAAAGCTAATTCCTCTTTAATATATAATATAAATAAATAAGTATATATGAATAATCTTGAATTTGATGTTGATATAATTTTATTTGAGTTTAAAAGTCGGGGGTTACATCAATAAAAATAGTATGAGTTTTTAGAAATTTATTTAAAATCCATACGTTTCGGCTAGCATCTTAGCTTTCATTCAATGGCAATCAATAGACATATAAAAATTAAAACTAAATAAACATGTAAGAAATTTCATAGGAAAAAAACGATAATAATAATAATAAACACTTACAATTTTGTATCCTAATATAATATAATGGGCCGGCCGTGGTCCCGTGGTAAGAACGTGGGCTAGCAAATCCTAGTCCCGGGTACGAATCCAACTGCGGTCGGTTCGGTATCAAAGCAGCTTCATACCAAATTTTCACTTGAAATCATAAATTTCAAACATGATCTCAAGTAAAAATGGCCTTTCGTGGGCATTGCTGCAGCGTACGTATATGCAGAGGGTGCAAGAGTTGTAGTAGCAACATGCCTCTTGCAAATAAGAGGTACTCGGATTGTATCCCTGTACTCAAAAGAGTTGGAGAATAAGTCAATACACCGGGAGAACCTTGGGGAGAAGTTAAAATTCAAGTAATAAAAAGGAAAAAGTAATAATCATGTAATAAGTTAGGAAAAAGTAAAAATGTTTGTAATACGTAAGAAAAGGTAATATGCATGTAAGAAAAAAGTGTTAAGTATCTTAAAAATGTAAGAAAATGGTAAGAAAGTTTAATATATATATATACGTTTGAGTATATATATATATATATATATATATATATATATGAAATTATCATTCCATGGTATGAGTATGTGCACAGTGGTAAAATATATATTTTTTTACATCACAAATGGCAAAACACACAAATAAACACGAATAACATTATAAGTTGTCGAAACTATAGTTTCGTCGACATATTATGTATTACTTTTGCAACGTAGAAGTGGAAAGGGTTAATGCTTCAGGCAAACTGGTCAAATAATTGATGTAAAAAATGTTTGAAGATTATGATGGACGATCAAGATATATTTTCAGATTAAGATAATTTGAATTAAGGGGGTTGTTCTTTTTTTTTTACAAAAAATGCAAGGTATTTGTTTTTGTTTTTCTCGAAATGTATTTATCATAGAGACATGCGTTTTTTTTTAAACAAAAATTACATAATCATAGAATATTACGAAATTTTCTTTTTGTTTTTTTTCGCTGACATTTTTTAACCAGGGGCCGCCAAAGTCGGCCTTGCAAAATCGATCTCTTTTGCGGTGCCACAGATAAATCTGTTGCGCATCGCCTGAAACAATAAAAGAAACTACGTTGAAGAAGAAGTTTGAATCCAGTCCCCCTACCAAAATGAAAGAAAAAAAGCAGGAAGGAAAAAAATGGCAGCTATTTAAAAAAAAGTGTCAAAAAAGGACTTTTTTTGGGGCGAGAAGCTTTGCAAAATTTTTTTGCGTAATGTTATCAAGTGTTTGAGGTAGGAGGACTAGGTATTGCAGTGGTGAACAAATTAAAAAAAATGTAAGTCGATCCGACTTGTACTTTTTTTTATTAATTTGTGGCACCGCATTGAAAAAAGTCAATTTGAGAAAAACGTATTTGAAGTTTTTAATACAATGTACTAAATACACCATTTAATTTAATGTACTAAATACACCATGGTGTTCAAAGATGCTGACACATTAAAAAGATCATGTGCATGAGGTATTATAATGAAAAAGAGGGCAGCTGGCATACAATAGCTCGCGGAGATACATATAGATATATATATATATATATATATATATATATATATATATATATATATATATATATATATATATATATATATATATATATCTATAACTTCGTCAAAAAATAGATATTGAGATGATTTTTTTTTAATAATTCTAAGGTTTTTAGCTTTCATAATATCAAAAATCGAAAAAAATAAATAAATAAAAACCGAACAACCCCTTTAAATGAATTATTTGGAATGATTTTACTTTTTAATTATTTATTTTAGAAACAATACTGCAACATGAGTTAATTTAAATGTTGTTTAGATATGATAAAAAATAATGAATATAAATGTGTTTGTGTACACATTGTGCTTTTTAATTTATACATTATTTCATTATTTAAAAATATAAAATTCCAAATGTTTGTAGAATGGATTCAATTCATTGTTCTTAGAATTGTAGTGAGTGGACATTTATTAAAAAAGATTAAATAATTTTTTTTCAGGAATTGTATAAATCAATCTATACACTGACTGCAGCATGTATGTGTGCATAGCAGAGAGTAATTTTTGGTTCCCGGGCTTTTGCCTGCAGCGGTTTTAGTTGATGCTCCTGAAAAGTATTAAGCTGCTCAAAAATTTGTGCCAAAGGTGAGATATGTCTTTTTATTGATACTAAGAGCAGTCTTTACAAACGTTGTACCTTAACTTACGATTTAGATTCCAAATTGTTGGGCCAAACTTGTTCAAGCTGGCGCGGCGTTCATGACGATTTTTCCACACAGAGTGCAGTTCATCACAAAAATAAAAATAATTTTGTGCTTTATAGTTTCATATAAATAAATATTTTGTAATACATGCGATTGCGGTACCGGTCATGGCCATAATGAGTAGTATTTGCTTCTGGCCAGATGTGCGTGATATTTACGTTTGGCCTAGCTTTCGTACGCGGGCTATTCTAAGTTAAGGGGTTAACAAATGAATTTCAGATTCTTGTATTAATTTGTGTTTATAAGACTTTATTCTGATCTCACATAGCTGATTCATAAAGTAACCTATATCTACCTATTTACAATATATATTATTGGTAATAATGTAATTTGTTGCCTTTATTTTGTAGTTTATATTGAAGTATTATCGGGCCAAAAAAGAAAAGTTGTGAATTGACTGTGTGTCCCGCTTTTGTAGCGGGATAGTTCAATCAGCAACCTGGAACTAATGGAACTGGAGAACATTGTTGCCAACACTGTATATTTGAAAGCTCGTGAAGGTGAAAGTAGATACGTGAAATATGGTTGAAACTTACTTTTTTAACATTGAGCTAATATATATATATATATATATATATATATATATATATATATATATACTATATATATATATATATATATATTTTATGTGCTAATATTTTTTTGCCGGAACGCTAAAATTAAAAAACCGGTTTTTATGTTTGTTCCGGTTTCGTTCAAAAAGGACATAAACAAAAATTATTACAAACCCCATTTTGTGCATATATATATATATATATATATATATATAATAAACACACACATATATATATATGTGTGTGTGTGTGTGTTTATTACAATAATAAGGACGTTTAATAAAAATTAGTTAAAATAAAAATTATAAAATTCACTTATCAAATTATTTTCTGTTGTAGCAGATTTTTTAATTTTTTTTGCCGAAATGCGTTCCGGCCCTAAAATGATTTGATATAATAAACCAAACATACAATACATAAAATATTTATTTATTTTTATATTATTATTATTAAATATATTTATATATTTACTAGCAAACCCGACGAACTCCGTTTCGCCACCAGATGGTTTCGTGAGAAAGATGAAGAATTTTTTTGTTTGTTTTATATTTGAAAAGGAAAAATTTGATATTTACACAACTGTAATGAATTTATTTCGATTAAAAAAATGAAGTGTTTTTAGTTGAACTTCTTTAAGTAAATGAAAGTGTACCCGCCAATTATCCGTTTCATTGAAGTGCTCTTTGTAAACATTTTTGTTTTTTGGTCTGACGTTAACACAAACAAAGCGGATGGTTTTCCAACTCGTGAACAGGCAACGTATTACTGCCCATGCGAAAAAAAAAAGATTTTCTAAATAATCTATTTGAAATTTATCCCGCAAACACTAAGCGATTGGCCTTGCGACTTGTTAATTGTCATTGCGAACGCAAGGGGAACTGGAAATTGCAATCGTTTGAAGTCAAACTGAAGACCAGTCGGAATCATTGGTATGTCACCAAATTGTCAGCAATTTTTGATTGAATGGTGAAATTCAGTGCGTGTATATCATTATTTGTTGCAGCAAGAATTGCTCGTTGACTTAACCAAGCATAATTCTGATAAATACGGTGCGTGAAGTTCCAGCAATTTGCATTAAGGCACGATGCCATGCACCACTAATTTTCTTAGCTATAAATTGTGGAGCCCGAGACCTTTCCAACGAATGCAAAATTGTCGAATTCGGTTCGTGCGTTCTGGAGTTATATCGTCAGGAAGGAAAACCCGACTTATTTTTATATATATGTAGATTATTTTGTATATTTATTTTATGTATTGTATGTTTGGTTTATTTTTTATATGTAATTATCAAAAATAATGATTTTTCCTGGTGTGACATGTATATCTTTTATTCTTTAATTATTTTAAATATAAATTTAAATTTATTTCTTTAAATTCTGCAAATATCCTTTTAGATACTGATTAACATATGTATGTATATTTATTTGTATGGGTAAAAGTCACATAGGGACATATGCTTTTCGTATACTAAGCATCAAAATAAGATACTTTGCCGAAGAAACCATTTCTCTAAAATGAATTCTGATGCCTGGTGCATTCATCCAAAGATTGGGTCAAATTTTAAAAAATCCTGTTTTGGCTCATTTAGAGCTCCTCAATAATGTCCAAATGTATGACCGACCCCCAGTAAGTTTGGAATGCTGATCTACCCATGCCCATGGTTCACCCGCTGGGACCTTCCTTTAGAGGTCTCCCATACAAAAGTTACATCATTTTGGGTGGATTGGCCTTCCAAAGTTAGTTGGGGTATATATATATGTATATATATATATATATATATATATATATATATATATATGTATGTATGTATATACTTCAGTATATTATTCATGTATTTGATTGAAAAAAAATACTTTTATTATTTGTAACAATTTTAATGGTTTTTGAGCCAATATTATTCATATTTATCGCCTGATTCATTTATATTCAATATTCATAATCATTCAATCATTATCATTTTCTTAATGTTTTACAATATGATTAAATATTCGCATAATCTTAGGTGGATCAGACAGCAGCAAAGGCAAAAGCAAAAAATGGAAGAAAATTCTGCAATTTCCTCACATATCTCAATGCATAGATATAAAAAACAAAATAGGTATGCTATTATTCACTTTAAATGAATCTATGTTCGGTATTACATGCATTTTAAAATATTAATGAAATGATTTATTTAAATATTTCTCACTAATATTAAGAGTTGCAAACTTGTATTATTAAATTATTATACAGATGTAAGATACAGTTACGTAGTTGACCAGCAGCCAATTGGGAGATTATTATTTCGCCAGTTTTGTGAAAAGAAAAGACCACAATATTATCGTTATATTTGTTTCTTGGATGATGTGGAAAAATATGAACTGGAATTGGATGAAGCACGTTTGGAGATATCATTAGAAATAAGTAAGAAATACCTCACAAGTAGTTCAATTGAATCGGGTGATAACCCTGGAAACACAGTGATTGATGTATTAAATGATGATGTTATAGAGCATTGTAAAAACAAATTATCAAGTGAGTGAAAATGTTTTATTCAGGTGATAGTTTTACTACTTTTATTTCCTAACTAAACATTTAATAAATTCACAGGTGGTTGTAAAGATCTATTTGAACCTTGTGTTTTAATCATCAAAAACTTTTTGGCAGGGGAGCCTTTCTGGGATTTTGAATCATCAATGTATTTTCATAGGTATGGCTGTTAAAATTCAACTTTAGTTACAAACTATTATATGTGATGCAGTTTTATTATATTTATTGTAAATAGTAGAAAAATAATATTTTATACATTATCAAAATTGCTATACTGGTTTATTAAAATTAGATATTTGCAATGGAAATGGCTAGAAGCATTGCCTGTAACATACAAGACTTTTCGAATGTATCGAGTTCTAGGAAAAGGAGGATTTGGAGAAGTTTGTGCATGTCAAGTAAGACTGCTTAATTTAAATATATATTTTTTAAATTCAAAATTGAAAAGATTTAGGAAAAATTCAAATTTTGTTTTTTAGGTAAGGGCAACGGGTAAAATGTACGCTTGCAAAAAATTAGAAAAAAAACGAATTAAAAAAAGAAGGGGAGAGTCAATGGTGTTGATTGAAAAGCAAATATTACAAAAAATTAATTCAAGATTTGTTGTCAATTTGGCATATGCCTATGAGACCAAAGATGCCCTCTGTTTAGTTTTAACCATAATGAATGGTGAGTTTGATAACAATATTGATAAATTGATATATGATTAATTTCTTGGAGGGCGTAACATCAAGTAAAAAGTAAATCAAGATTTTTAAAACATCTTTATTTTTCCATGCGTTTTGATGTAAAAATCTCTCATCTACTTGATGTTATGTATGTGTGTGTGTATATGTATATATGTGTGTGTGTATATGTATATATGTGTGTGTGTATATGTATATATGTGTGTGTGTATATGTATATATGTGTGTGTATATGTATATATATGTGTGTGTATATGTATATATGTGTGTGTATATGTATATATATGTGTGTGTATATGTATATATATGTGTGTATATATATATGTGTATATATGTATATATATATATATGTATATATATATATATGTCTTATATTGCTTCGAAACTATTTGTCCCATTGAAAATTAAGTTAAATAAAATATCTTGGCTCAAAACAAAAAGAACAATTTAAGCAGCAGTTTACCAATTTATTTTTATTTTTCTAGGAGGAGATTTAAAATTTCATATATATAATATGGGAGGTGAACCTGGCTTTGAAACATCACGAGCAATGTTTTATGCCGCAGAAGTAGTCTGCGGACTAGAACATCTGCATGAACAAGGAATAGTTTACAGGTAAGTTGAAGAAATTGCTCTCAAAGAACTAATAATGTTTGCACCAAAGTCACTTTAAACATTTGGTATGTGAAAAAAAAATTCAATCAATAGCATAAAGTTTTCAAATTTAAAATTCATTAATCGAGAAGAATAAACCAAGATTAACAATAGTTTTGTAAACAACTATTTTACCAAATTGCAACTATTTTTTACAAAATGTATTTTATAATATTCATTTTAATATTATGTAACAGAGATTGCAAACCTGAAAATATTCTTTTGGATGATTTTGGTCATGTGAGAATATCTGATTTGGGTTTAGCTATGGATATTCCTGAAGGCGAAATGGTGAGAGGCAGAGTAGGAACAGTTGGTTATATGGGTTAGTATTTCAGTATCTGTTATATCTATACAATCTTCAGTATTTATTGCTGATTTATTTATATATTTTGCCCTACATTTGTGATAATGATGTCTTAGTAAATATTTCTCTTTGTTGCTGATTTATTGTTTTTTATATGTTTCACAGTCTGATAATGAAAATACTACATCTGCTTTACAATTATTTTTATATTAATGAATTGAAAAGTGAAGACCATCATACTATAAATAGAGTTTCATTGATTAAAATAAATATATGCACAAATAATTCAAAGTTTGTAAATGTTACAGCCCCCGAAGTCATTGAAAATGAAAAATACTCATACAGTCCAGATTGGTTTAGCTTTGGATGTTTGCTTTATGAAATGTTGGAAGGTCAAGCACCATTCAGAGCCAGAAAGGAAAAAGTTAAGCGGGAGGAAGTTGACAGAAGAGTGAAGGTAAAAAGTAAACAGAGTTTCATGCCCGATTAATTTATTAACTTCCCGTAGGGTAAGTTATTGTAATGGGCCGAAAATCGAAATAGAAAATTTTTGCATTTCTCGACGTTTTGAAGGTTTCTGAACATTTTGGCATACCTCAGAAAAAATGGATGTGTGTGTGTATGTATGTATGGATACAAATTTTCAGGCACGTTTTCGGGCGCACGGATCAACCGATTTGAATGGTTAAAAAAAACATTCGATTCCTATCGATAGGGAGAAGAGCTGATTAGTTTTTGGCAAAGGCAGATCCAGCCGTTTTGGAGATACGGAGTAAAGAGTGTAGAAAATAGAAATCGAGTTTTTGAGAGAACGGATCATCCGATTTGTATGATCCAAAAAACATTTAGTTAGTAATGACGAGGAAAAGTGGTTATTAGTTTTTGGCAAAGGTAGGCCCAGCGGTTTCGGAGCCACAGAGCTAAATGTTAAAAAAACGGCAGTTTTTGAGAGAACTAAGCGTCCGATTTAAATGATTCATAGAACTTTCTGCTTGTCTTAACAAAATAATTGATTTTGGAAAAAAAAATTTGTTTCAATTTTTTTTTTTTTCAAAAAATTTTTTTTTTATATATCGAAAATAATGCGGATTTTATTTTTAATTCTGACTAAAGTTCTGATATACTTTAAACAAATAATGTTTTCAACTTTGCAATTCAGTTTATATAATTCTTATAAATATTACACAATGTTACAGTATTCATTTATAATAATCTATTTGAAAACATTCACTATTCCTTGAATATTTCGTTACGGTACGGGAAGTTCCAGCAATTTGCCTTAAGGCACGATGCCATACACCCCACTAGTTTAGAATTTATTCTATATTCAGGTTTGTTATACAAAAGTTTGAAATATCTTTGTTATATATTCATATCTATATTATTTTTGCTTGCATTATTATTAATTACCAAACACAATTATTCAAGAGCTTTTAATATTTGAAAAATATGATATTTATTTATGTTTTATTATTATCACACTATGTCTATTTTTATTCACGCATAATATAGTAATAATTTCATTCCTTTTTTTGAAGGAAGATCAAGAGAAATACTCATCAAAGTTTACCGATGAAGCAAAATCATTATGCCAGCAGCTATTGGTAAAAAATCCAAAAACTAGATTAGGATGTCATTGTGGTCGATATGGGGCTCGTGAAATTAAATTACATTCTTTCTTTAGTACCATGAATTGGAAAAGACTTGAAGCAGGTCTCATAGAAGCACCCTTTCTTCCTGATGTAAGTAGTTCTTTAAACATCGAAAGGACTATATTTTAATTTTTTTTTTTTTATTAAAGTATCGTTAATTTTAAAAACATGTTATAGGACCAGTAATAGATTTAGATAAAATAATGACAATACTGATTTCTTTTGATGAATTATTATTCGTGGACACTAAATCAGTTATTTTACAGAAATATTCGACATTATTAGTTATATTTATTTTTGGATATTGCTATCTAATCTATTGCAGTCTAATATCTATAAAGTATCATTACAACATACAAAATTTTAGTGGTGATTACAAATTGGCAACAATTTCTAAAACAGAATATCACATTATTGAAATGTTCATGTAATTTATGCTTAAATATTTTTTTAGCCTCATGCAGTATATGCTAAAGATGTATTGGATATTGAACAGTTTTCTACTATAAAAGGGGTTAATTTAGATGCAACAGATGATAATTTTTATTCAAAATTTAATACTGGTTCTGTGTCAATACCTTGGCAAATGGAAATGATTGATACAGATAGTTATAGCGAATTAAATGTCTTTGGAATAGATGATACACCAACACCTGATTTAATAGTATTACCTGAACCCACAGAAGAAAAACAAGGTTGCTTCTCTTTTGGATTTAAGGTATTATTAGTTATTTATTTTAGTTAATATTTTCATAATACTGATGCTATGTGGATAATTCTAGAAAAAACAATCTGCTCGATCTAAACAAATACCATTTGCAGAGCATCTACTGAAGTCAAACCAAAAAGTTCTAGCACAAGAACATCAAAGTTGATAGTCAATATATGAAATTATGCTATGATATACATCATTAGAATACTTCTTGTTGTAAACATTGTCGTATGTATTAATATTGTGCATGTTACTAATTTATTAAATTCCCTGAAATGAAACTTCTTGAAATGCTCTTGTCTTTTTTATAATAATTGTGGTTACAAAATGAGTATATAGCTTAATATTTAAATATAATTAATAAATTATTCCACATTTCTGAAAATTTTAGAGTAATAGTTTATATAATAATAATTTTTTCCTTTATTACCATATGTATGTTTTGACTTGGGATTAAGTCATCATACAGTGACATAAAATAAATTAAGAACCCAAACTAGAATACATGATTTATTACTTATATGTTTACAATAACAAAGAACTAATAAAACATTGTTCAGATTATATTCATGGTATTATTACCCAAAATATGTTTGGCAGCTACATTTATTGAAATATTTATATTTTTTAAATATCTTATTTACTTGTAGATCACTATATAAATATACAGAATGTATTAAGGATAAATTATTTATATATATATATATATATATATATTATATATATATGCATATATATATAGAATTTTGTGATATGAGTGGAATTAATTTAATGTAAGGTGGAGAATATTAAATGTTAAATATGAACAACGTAACACTCAGATTTTTACACACGCTATTTAACAATTACAGACGTTTCGAGACCATGGTATGCTTCATCAGCAGTGTAATTTCAAAACAGTAAAAATTATATACTACTACATTATTTAATATTTTATTTAAATTGTATTTTATTTTTGAAAAACAAAAAACACCAACTATCTCTTACAATGCTTGATACAGTACATGTGAATATATACAGAAATATTTCAAAACAAATCTTAAGTGTGGAAGATGAAGGGACAAGGATGGATATTATTATAATGTAAACAAAAGGAGTGCGCGATCGCATACTAAAATCAACAAATGTGAAAACAGATTAATTTATTGAATGGAATAAGATAAATGAATGAAAAAAGTAAACAGAAAAAATTATAAATTAAATATTAAATATTATTATTATTAAATTATAAATAAAAAAACAACATTTAATGATGTTTATATAAGTCGTGTAAAATATTTGTGACGATTCGCTTATTGCAGTACGACAGATGTCGCATCCGTAACTCGTATGCATTTCAATAGCACACATACTCATTTTTTCCCAAAATTTTTCTGACCAAAATTGTTTTGACCAAAATTTTTTGGCCAACATTTTTTTGACCACAATTTTTTGGACTAAAATTTTTTTGACCAAAAATTTTTAGGACCAAAATTTTTTGACCAAAATTTTTTTTGACCAAAATTTTTTTGACCAAAAATTTTTTATCCAAAATTTTTTGGACCAAATTTTTTTGACCAAAATTTTTTTGACCAAAAATTTTTTTCTAAAATTTTTTTGACCAAATTTTTTTGACCAAAAATTTTTTTCCCAAAATTTTTTTGATCAAAAATTTTTTGTACCAAAATTTTTTTGACCAAAAATTTTTTTGACCAAAAATTTTTTTGACCAAAAATTTTTTGACCAAAAATTTTTTTGACGAAAATTTTTTTTCCCAAAATTTTTTTGACCAAAATTTTTTTTTCCAAAATTTTTTTGTCCAAAAATTTTTTTGACCAAAATTTTTTGGACTAAAAATTTTTTGACCAAAAATTTTTTCCCAAAATTTTTTTGACCAAAATTTTTTTGACCAGTTTTTTTTAACCAAAAATTTTTTTCCATAATTTTTTTGACCAATATTTTTTTGACCAAAAATTTTTTCCCCAAAATTTTTTGGACCAAAAATTTTTTTCGCAAAATTTTTTTGACTTTTAACTCTGATCGTCTCTATTAAAACACAATGTTCTATTGATCACTATTTTACTCAATTACACCACGTTCACTATATACGTATTATATATATATATCTGTTTTACATATTACTCAACGCCTACTAGATTACTGATCTATTCATAGTTAGCATTCGGCTATCCTGATCAATTCTCGTCCTCGAGAATGTAGTTTTCGAATTTCTTTAGTCATTTCCATTGCCTTTAGTCGTTCCCGAGTTACCATCACTCCGCATTATTTACCACTTTGTATTTGGAGTCCTTTCTATTAATTCTCTCATGAAATCCATGTTCCTTTCTCTTCTCTACAACTGTGAACGCTTTGCTAATGGACTCTTCACAACTCGATGACTCTTCACAAGGGCAACTCGACTCTTCACGATTACAACAGGATTCTTCACTAATGGACTCTTCACTAATGGACTCTGGACTCTTCACTAATGGACTCTTCACAATTACAATAGGATTCTTCACGATTGGACTCTTCACAATTACAATAGGATTCTTCACGATTGAACTCTTCACTTTTTTAAGACCAAAATTCTTTTTTCAAAATTTTTTGGACTAAAATTTTTTTGACCAAAAATTGTTTTTCCAAAATTTTTTGGACCGAAATTATTTGGACCAAATTTTTTTGACCAAAAATTTTTTCCCCAAAATTTTTTTTCTAAAATTTTTTTGGCCAAAAATTTTTCCCCAAAATTTTTTGGACCAAAATTTTTTTGACCAGTTTGTTTAACCAAAAATTTTTTTCCATAATTTTTTTGACCAAAAATTTTTTTCCCAAAATTTGTTGGACCAAAATTTTTTGAACCAAAATTTTTTTTCGCAAAATTTTTTTGACCAAATTTTTTTTCCAAAATTTTTATAACCAAAATTTTTTTTCCTAAAATTTTTTTTTCAAAATTTTTAGGACCAAAATTTTTTTTTCTAAATTTTTTGGACTAAAATTTTTTTTTCTAAATTTTTTGGACTAAAATTTTTTTGACCAAAAATTTTTTTTGACCAAAAATTGTTTTTCCAAAATTTTTTGGACCGAAAAAATTTTTTTTCCGAAATTATTTGGACCAAATTTTTTTGACCAAAAATTTTTTTCCCAAAATTTTTTTGACCAAAATTTTTTTGATCAAAAATTTTTTTTTCAAAATTTTTTGTACCAAAATTTTTTTGACCAAAAATTTTTTTTTCAAAATTTTTTGGACCAAAATTTTTTTGGCCAAAATTTTTTTGACCAAAATTTTTTTGACCAAAAATTTTTTTGACGAAAATTTTTTTTCCCAAAATTTTTTTGACCAAAATTTTTTTTTCCAAAATTTTTTTGTCCAAAAATTTTTTTGACCAAAATTTTTCTGACCAAAAATTTTTTTCTTAAAATTTTTTCCCAAAATTTTTTGGACTAAAATTGTTTTGACCAAAAATTTTATTTCCAAAATTTTTTGGACCAAAAATTTTTTGACCAAATTTTTTTTTCCAAAATTTTTATGACCAAAATTTTTTTTCCTAAAATTTTTTTCCCAAAATTTTTAGGACCAAAATTCTTTTTTCAAAATTTTTTGGACTAAAATTTTTTTGACCAAAAATTGTTTTTCCAAAATTTTTTGGACCGAAAATTTTTTTTTTCCGAAATTATTTGGACAAAATTTTTTTCCCAAAATTTTTTGGACCAAAATTTTTTTGATCAAAAATTTTTTTTTCAAATTTTTTTGTACCAAAATTTTTTTGACCAAAAATTTTTTTTCCAAAATTTTTTGGACCAACATTTTTTTGGCCAAAATTTTTTGGACCAAAAATTTTTTTTTCTAAATTTCTTGGACTAAAATTTTTTTGACCAAAAATTGTTTTTCCAAAATTTTTTGGACCAATTTTTTGCCCTTTGACCTTTGCCATTTGACCTTTGATCTTTGCCATTTGGCTTTTGACGTTTGACCTTTGCCATGTAACCGTTGCTATCTTGAAATTTTCAGTTTTTGGTCAAAATTTGTTGACCTCTGCCCTTTGACCTTTGCCATTTGACCTTTGACCTTTTCAGTTTTTGGTCAAAATTTTCCATTTGACCTTTGACCTTTGATCTTTGACTTTTTCCCAAAATTTTTTGACCAAAAATTTTGACCTTTGACCTTTTCATTTTTGTTCAAAATTTGTTGACCTTTGACCTTTGACCTTTTGATGTTTGACTTTTGGACCAACATTTTTTGACCTTTGGAATTTTGACCTTTGACCTTTTCATTTTTGTTCAAAATTTGTTGACCTTTGCCCTTTTCATTTTTGTTCAAAATTTGTTGACCTTTGACCTTTGACCTTTTGATCTTTGACTTTTGGACCAACATTTGGCCTTTTTGACCTTTGGAATTTTGACCTTTGACCTTTTCATTTTTGTTCAAAATTTGTTGACCTTTGCCATTTGACCTTTGACCTTTGCCATTTGACCTTTGACCTTTGATCTTTGACTTTTTTGGACCAACATTTTTGGCCTTTGACCTTTGCCATTTGACCTTTGGCCTTTGCCATTTGACCTTTGACCTTTGACCTTTGCCGTAACCGTTGCTATCTTGAAATTTTCAGTTTTTTTGGTCAAAATTTGTTGACCTTTGCCATTTGACCTTTTGACAAATTTGACCTTTGACCTTTTCATTTGGTTAGTTCAAAATTTGTTGACCTTTGCCCTTTGACCTTTGCCATTTGACCTTTGACTTTTTGGACCAACATTTTTTGGCCTTTGCCCGTTGACCTTTGACCTTTGCCATTTGACCTTTTTCCCAAAATTTTTTGGACCAAAAATTTTGACCTTTGACCTTTTCATTTTTGTTCAAAATTTGACCTTTGACCTTTTCAGTTTTTGGTCAAAATTTGTTGACCTATGCCATTTGACCTTTGACCTTTGATCTTTGACTTTTTTGGACCAACATTTTTTGGCCTTTTTTGACCTTTGGAATTTTGACCTTTGACCTTTTCATTTTTGTTCAAAATTTGTTGACCTTTGCCTTTTGACCTTTGATCTTTGACTTTTTTGGACCAACATTTTTTGGCCTTTTTTGACCTTTGGAATTTTGACCTTTGACCTTTTCATTTTTGTTGACCTTTGCCCTTTGACCTTTTCTTTTTTGTTCAAAATTTGTTGACCTTTGTCCTTTTGATCTTTGACTTTTGGACCCACATTTTTTGGCCTTTTTTGACCTTTGGAATTTTGACCTTTGACCTTTTAATTTTTGTTCAAAATTTGTTGACCTTTGCCCTTTGACCT